TTACTCCAACCAGGTGAAGCAGTATTGTGCTATTTGACAGTGTGGCTCTTACATCCTTCTTACATCATGCCAAAAAATATCCTCATTATGTATTTATTGAAGAAGATTTGGCTGAAGTCGTTGTTTTACTTTCAGTTTAAGAACTGTGTAAATTTACAATAAAATCCTTGACTGAAGCAGTTTGTTAAATGGATATTTAACATACTCTGACTTGTTTGGTTTTCGTTTGTTTGTGTTTTTTGTTTTTGTTTTTTTCTCATCAGAAATGTACTGAACTGCGTGGACAATTTTAAACTATTCCACACAAAAACATAAACTGAAATATTGTCATTTTAATTCTAGCTCTGAAGTCACTTAGATAACTATTTTACATGTGTAAGTGTAAGGTAGGTGAAAAACATTAAAATGTTCAATGGACTGGTACTTACAGTGCTTTTCCTCTCTGACTTCTTTACTTCATGCTTTTAATCACTTTTTAGCTGGCACACTCTGACGTCTTTCCAGTAATTGGGATCTCAGTATCTGACCAAAGTAGCCTAATAAGCAGATGACCCGCTCAACCTCCTGAGCTCATAACTGCTTACATGTTATTGTCTCATTCTACTAAACTCTACTAATGTAAATATTTAAAACTTTGAATTAAGCCTTTTTGAAGTTAGAAAACTGGGTTTTCTAATCTGAAAATACAGCTGCTAGCACAGAAATTTAAGTCGAATCGAATCTTTGATCATAAATTTGATTACTGTATTTTATTCTTGGACCCTGATAGAGTACAATTCAGTTTATATTGCCAAATAGCATCAACAGGGTGCTTTATATTATAAGGCCCTACAATCAGACAACCCCCTCTTTGAGCAAGCACTTAGCGACAGTGGGAAGGAAAAACTCCACTTTAACAGGAAGACACATTCAGTAGAGCTAAGCTCAGTAAGGGGAGGTCATCCACCACAACTGTTTCGGGTTGAGGGCAACAAAATAAAAGACACATTGTGGAAGAGAGCAAGAAATTAATGATTAAATGCGGAGTCGTATATAAAGATATAGTGAAAAGGTGAGTGAAGAAGAAGCACTCAGTGTGAAACCCCCTAGCAGCCTAGCGTAGTTACGGGAGGATTCAGGGTCACCTGATCCAGGCTTCGCTATAAGCTTCAAAAAGGAAAGTTTTAAGCCTAATCTTAAAAGTAGAGAGTGTGTCTGTCTCCAGAATCCAAACTGGAAGCTGGTTCCACAGAACAGGGGCTTGAAAACTGAAGGCTCTGCCTCCCATTCCACTTTTAAATACTCTAGAAACCACAAGTAAACCAGCAGTCTGAGAGCAAAGTGCTCTTTTGGAGTGATATGGTACCATGAGGGCCTGATTAAAGTGAGGTGAAGGATTTCATATTTGATTCTGGATTTAACAGGGAGCTAATGACGAGAAGGCAGTTTGGGAAAAACATGCTCTCTCTGTCTTACCCCTGTCAGCTCGCTTGCTGCAGCATTCTGAATCAACTAAATGGGCTTTTTAGGGAGGTTTTAACTTTTCCTCATCCATTTATACAATGGATCCATCTATACATATACGTTTTCCTTCTGACTGGCTACCGCTTGCAAACAAAAGACCTGAACAGCAGGTAGGTCGGCTCCTCTGTTCAGAGCCAGCTTTGTGCACTTGATGACTACATTAGGGGTGAAAATTACTTGTACATTCACTAAGGGTTTTTTTTTTTTTTTTACTTGAAACTGGACATCTTTAGTATGAGCATCCACCAGTGTAACACTGCAAATACACTTACTGGGCACTGGGTAGGAACCTTTACCTTCAAAACTGCTTTCATTCTTCCTGCCATAGATTCAACAAGGTAATGCAGTTCTTCCTCAGAGATTTGTGGCCATACATCCATATCTCCTGTTCCACCACATCCTAAAGGTGCTCTATTGCATTGAGATGTGGTGACTAGCCCATTCGAGTGTAGTGAACTTATTGTTTGAGATGATCTAAGGTGTTGGACGCAGGCATTAGAAGCTTGGTATGCCGGTGATAAGCATGAAGATCGTCAGCGGTGGGTTGTTGTAGGAAAATCTTCACCACCACCTGTCATCTGATCTGTCAGCACAAGGCAGGATGAATCCATGCTTTCATGCTGTTTGTGCCAAATTTTCACCCTGCCACTCATGCGTCACAGCAGAAGTGGAGCCTTATCGGACCAGGCAACGTTTTTCTAATCTTCTATTGTCCCATTTTGGTGAGCCCATGTGAATTGTAGCATCAGTTTCCTGTTTTCAGTTGCCAGGCGTGCCACCTGGTGTGGTCTTCTGCTGATGTAGCCCAGCTTCAAGGTTCCCGTGCCTTCCACTATCCTCTTCTGCATACCTCGGTTGTAGGGAGTGTTTGAGTTACAGTTTCCTTCCTATCAGCTCAGAGCAGTCTGGTCATTCTCCTCTGACCTCTGGCATCAACAAAACATTTTCACCCAGAGAACTGCTGCTCACTGGATATTTTCTCATTTTCATGCCATTCTTTCCTTGGGAAAACCCCAGTACATCAGCACTCAGACCAGCCTGTCTGGCGCCAACAACTACATCATACTCAGAGTCACCTAAATCTAATTTCTTCCATGTTTTGATGTTCATCAGCAGTTATCACCATGTCTAAATGCATAGTTTATGACATGTGACTGACAGCTCAAGATTTGTACCTAATGAAGAGGCCAGAGAGTGTATATGACAGGATATAAAGAAGTCCCCTTTTAAATGCAGATAAACACAAATATTTTAAAAATACATCGCCATTTTTTACCTGAGTATATCCTCTGTAGCTCTTTTGCATCTGGTCACCATCTAGATCATTTTTCTTGGAGCAGCACACCAAGATTTACATCTCTAGAATGCAACTGCTGTCACTGAGAGCAAGACAGGCAAGTAGGAAAGCAGAAGAAACAGCTTTTAACATTGCTTCGACTCCTAATAATAACCTGTGAAAAACAGTTTTCCTTCCTGGAGAGCAGACCCTCTTCACAAAAACAGCATATTTTGAACTTGTGTTACTCTAAGCTGCTTATGCCGCATGCAGCGGACAGGAAGCAGATACTGAGCGAGTCTCCACGGATACCATAGAAGGACTTGACATTAGCGGTTTGTTTTTTTTTCCATTAGGATTAGCAAGCTCACTGAGCTGAGTTTCAAAACAGACTTAATGACATGTCTTCGTCACTGCACTAGAAGGATCCATTATAACTACACTATATAACATATATGACAATTCTTTACCAACACTACACAATTGCAGACAAACTATCACTGACAAATTCATGATCACATAATTTATGATTATGTTTTATTTGCTTTGCAAACATTTCTTGGCTGATTGCAGGTACCAGTACATTGATGAAGACATCCCTTCACCCCACAGCACACCATAAACATTGTAGTATTTAACAATATTAAAAAAAAATACTGAGGAATAGCAACATAAATTGCAGATGAAACAAAAAAATGTGTTCACAAATGTGTTATAACGCAACATTATTAACATTTGCGTGTTCATTTGTGTGAGTAACAACAAAGAAATCAAATAAAAATCCCTTTCTATATTTGCTTTCCCGACTCAAATTTGTCTTAAACGTGTCATGACACTTTTAGGACAAACACTTTAGACTCTCTTTTTATGTTTCTCTAAAAACACTGTCAGAAATTCTTAGTAGCCAAAAAAGGAGAAGTGTTGCATAGTTTGATGCAACTCTGCAGAGACTCCCAATACAGGAAATAAGTTTGCATTGCATCAAATAATCAGTTATTTCTTGCACTACGTCGTACAAACAGATTCCAGTACTTTCTCGGGTAAACACACAGATGACCAAATTAATCATAAGCCCGTAAGGCAGACGAGCGCACCGCAGTACTGCAGGGTGTAATCCTTTGTTCTTAAAAACACAAACAAATATTTATCTGGGGCAGAACACGGATCAAACGAGCAGGAGTGAAATGTACCAAAGGGAACTGGTAATGTAAACAAGGAAATGACTCGTTACTGGTAATGCAGCACTGTGAGAAAAGGGAGGAAAACACAAGCATATGTCAACATTCCTCCTGAAAACAGACATCTTTACATGACTAACGCTTCACCACCTACTTAACTGGTAACCTCATTTCGGGTTTACCACATTTATGTAGCATTAACAAAGGACCGGAGGGGAAAATGTACGATGCTTACTGGAAACTAATAATTTCACTGATCTGATTTGTCTGCTGAATGTTACCACAAGCCCTTTCTAAAAACACATTGGCCTCTGATAAATTTTACATCACCACACACCACATCATGTTAATAAATTACTATTCAAGCCTGACTGATTTAAAGGTAAATATTTAAATAATTAACCAAGAATGATCGATTTTGCCCATTTACTAAATGCAGAAGCATTCATTAAATGGAACTAAATCAAAAGGCATCGCACAGTTTGATCACCATGACGGCGTCATGCATCACCAATTCCTTTCTTGGAATTATAATCAAAAATCCACCAAACAGGTCGTCGTCAGGTTAGTTTTAAACTTATATCGCTTTAAACACCCCCTTTAAGGGGAGGAATTCTTTTAATTGCAACCCATTAAAAGACAAATCTATAAATAAAAAAGTATTTCAGACCAATACTAAGCTGAATTGGCTTCATTAAATCCACTGAATTAAATTATTTTTTTAGTAGTACATGTAATGTTGGGAGGGGTTTTTTTTAATCTACAAGCTTATCTCCCTGTGGACAGCCTACAGCATGCGTTAAAAAGCAATTAGACATCTCCCTGTAACCTAAATTAAGCATAGAGAAGAAACAATGTTCCACGTTACAAAAACTGGACCATCATATGACCCGGAAATCTGAATACCAGGCACACGCTGTAGTTTGTAATCAACTTCAGCTATCTCCCAACTCTACCAACACAGCCAGTCCCAGGTGAATCTGGTCAGCAGGAATTCTCTGACTGTTGTGATCATGAAAAAAAAAAAAAAAAAAAAAGAAAAAGCAAAAAAAAAAAACGCCAAAAATGAATAACAAGCAACACCGATAACGCTTTAGTACACTGCCCCAGCCACCACAACAATACTCGTGATGGAGTTTCTATCCATCTATATAAATATAAATACCTACTTGTTACATATTGATAGTACAAGAACCTCTATGAGGACACTGTTAAACCCTACTTCAGTAGGAATAGGAAAGTCATTCGTTCTTAAGTGGTTTAAAAAAATGATTTTAGAATACAGTAAGAGTAAAAAAAAATATTAACAGTGCTGCTTGCATGCATAACTGTGCACGTTGGTAGAACTGTCTTCGTGTACTGCGAAAACCTCGATGTCCACAGTGTTTTATTGCACAAGTCTCTGCTTTACGAATGTTATGCAGCCGCCTGGTCTCGGAGGAGATGATGTAAAAGCTGTGAGTTAAAAGATTCCACTCAGATGACATATCCAGATGTGGCTATGAAATAAAAATTAAAGATCAAAGCTTTTTATCTTCACACTACAGACTAATATGTGATTATACAATGAGATCCTCAGTGGGCAGAGAAGAGAAGCCCCAAGTAGGTAAGTGCGTGCCCACGTAACACACGATTAAAAGGCGTATGTAGCAGTTGCTTTTATCATCGCAATACACAACGAGTAGACGTGCTATACCTGACCATCGATGCAATCATTCAATTTCACAGTCCTCTTTAACAAGTTTACTCAATCCATCTTGTTTCATGCTGTCAGTTTTAGCCAGTCATGTTGTCACATCTGTGATGATGAGACAGCTCGGCTCCATTTCTGCATGCTTCCACCACCTTCACCGTTCCTCAGTGCCTTTGCATAAACTTGGTCAACACCTGACACGAGGACAGGCAGATTCCTTTAAAATGTGCTACTTCCTGCACCCATGTGAGGATTACAAAATGATATGTGAAAAAATATGAGCCCATGGTGCAAAGAAAAAAAAAAGCGACACACACAAAAAAAAAAATCCCCACAGGTGTTTCTTCAAAGTCAAAACTGTGGGCAGGATGCATCGGGAATCAGCCCTCATACGTAAAAGATGTAATAATCACCGACTATCTCCGTTTGGTCTCATACGATGCTCTCACTGGCCGATTTTTTCATCAGTTTATTAGAGAGCAAGGAATGCTGGGAAGAGTTCGACTCCTTGGCTTCGGGGATGAGCAGACGTACTTTCTGGTTCGTTCTCCTCCACTCAGAGTACAGCTGACAATGGTAGCGGAATGATACCTGAAGAAAACCGAAGTGCAGCATTATACATCAACTTTTCCGAGTGAAAATGTCTGCTTTACAGTAATAATGGATGGGAATTCTTTTTTTTTTTGTTTACCAAAGTCCAAAGGACGTAGATGGTGAAGAGGGCAATGGTGAGGGCAATGAGGCCCACAGCCTGCAGCCAGCTCCTCAGCTGAAGATGATCCTGAGCGCCCCTCAGGCAAAGCCAGCCAGAAATAGCTGCTAGAGGAGTGATAAACAGGAAGCACACCATGTCACAGAACAGTGTTCTCTTCTCATTACGGGGGCCGGGATCTCGCAGCCACTGTGGGGTAAGACGTAGGAGGGAAGAAAAACAGAAAGAAGTCAGACTGTGGCAGAAACCAGGTAAAAAGAAAGAAGCTAATGAAGAGAAAAGACATTCTGCATTAACAAAGAAGCAAGCAAGCAAGCAGAGAGATGTAAAACAAGAAAAAGACGGATAAAAAGCACCATCACACTTTCATACACACACACTCATTCACAACCAGCAGCCCAACCACGATGAATAAAAAGGATGAGAAGAAGGATTGTTGCAGACGAGGCAAAGGGCATTGACCTTTGTTACCTCTGTGAGGGGCCTCGGTCGGCGCTCGATGCTGAACTCTGTGTGGCAAAGCTCACAATAGCTGGTGTTGGAGGACGACAGCCACTTCTCTAAGCAGCTCTTGTGCACTGTACCCAAAGTGCCTGTGCAGTCACATGGAGACAGGAGACCCTCGCTGCTGCCTCCTTCGTGGCAAATACGGCAAATGGGACCATCACTGAGATAAAAATATACAGAGATTTTTATAAATGGCAGGCATTGTCTGCATGAAACACAGCAAAAATGTTTTACCATTCTATCCCAAAGACAATAATGATAATATTCAATGGGTGTGTAGTGAAGAAATGTGAAAAAAAAAACAAGCTAAATGGAGAAGCGCGTTGTCTGAAATAGTGTTAATACAAGGCATAATCACAAGTTTAGCAACTTCTTTCATTAAAAGAAATTATATATATATATATATATATATATA